CGCGCGGAGCCTTCCTCTCCTCCCCCGCGCCCATCCCAGCCCTCTCCTGCTTGCCCCCTCTGCTGCCTGCGGCCAGGTGCCTAGAGAAGCATAGGAGCCACGCTGCGGCCCCGAAAGCCGAGTTAGGCGCCGCTGTCTCTCTGTAGGGTGGAGGGGGAGAGACGCAGTTACCAGCAAAATAAACCACAAAACCAGGATCCGTGTAGGCGCTGGAGTTGGGGCTGCTGCGGCCCCTCCTGGCTTGAAGTGGTTTCCATTATATTCAGGGTGTACCCTGGGGAGAACCACGCAGCAGAGCAGGAAGGACCATGTGCCCCCCTCAGGCCATGGGGGAGAGCTGTTCTATCAGGGCCTTCTCTATGGGGGCTGTGTGGAAAATCAGCCGCTTTTCCGGAATAAGCTGCGAGCTGTCTACACTGGCCCTTGAATTTCCGGAAAAGCAACGATGCTCTACTGTACAAAATCAGCCGCTATTCCGGAAAAACTATTCTGCTCCCGCTCGGGCATAAGTCCTTATTCCGGAACACTGTTCCGAAAAGGGCCAGTGTAGACAGCCCAGTAGTCTTTTCCGGAAAAAAAGCCCTGATCATGAAAATGGCGATCGGGGCTCTTTTCCGGAAAAGCAGCCTGCCAATGTAGACGCTCCTTTTCCGGAAAAACTGAAAACGGAATAGTATTCCGTTTGAAGCATTTCCGGAAATTCATGCCAGTGTAGACACAGCCTGGCAGTGTAAAGCCTGGCGCAGTTTTTCCCTACCCCCGAGCAAAACCTCCACCACAGGTACCCCCACCCCATCCCTTTCCCATGACCCAACCCTGCTTTGCTTCTGCTCTGCTCCCTCCTGCACTCTTCTCCCTCCGAGTAATGTGAGTGGGAGGATTACTGGGGACACATGCCCTCTGCCCTCACTGTGGTGGCAGGAGCCTGCTCTGCTCCCCTTCCACTTACCACAGCCTGAAAGATAGACAGTAGGATGGACTCTAGCAGGCTGCTGGGTCACCACAGCCCCTGCCAGCACAGTGAGTGGAGAGGGCTGATTCCTGTTGCCACCCCATCCTCATGTCATATCCCCTGGTAATCCCTTGGGCTGGCCCTGTGAGTTCCATCCAAAAATCAGATGAGGCTGCCAACCTGTACTACCCAATGTATGGGGTTACTCTGTGTCCCATCCATTGGGTGGTTTGAGGCAACTGCCCTGTGCTATGAGGGTCCACTAGGGCCTAGCACAGTCTGGTGGATTAGTAGGGCCTGTCAGACCTGCTCCCATGCTCACTGGTGGCAAAGCGCTGGGCTCCAGCACATTCTACTACCTTAGCTCCTTGCCACAGCACTCCAAAGAGGATTTGTGGGTAGGAGTGGAACCTCTCCTTACACTCACTGGCAGTGGAAAGCAGAGCAACACAGCTGGAAGCCAGGGGAGCAGGGCAGACCCCATCACCATGGGGAGAGGGAGCCAGACCACTGCTGCTGGTGCTAGGTGCCCCCATAGTCTCCTGGGATGCATCACTCAGGGGAGGGCCCTTGGGGGAAGAGGTGGAAGGAGTATATCCTGGGCCCCACACCCTCTTCAGGACAGCCCTCCCTTGGACTAGAGATGGTGTGGGGAGGAGTCATAAGGTGGGAAGTCATGAGGCCAGTGCCCCCTTGTATCTCTCCCCAGCAGTCGCTTATGAGGTGTACAGTTTGGTTCAATGGTTCTCAGCATAACCACTGTACAAATTGTTACAGCACCCATGCTAAGTGTGGTTGCCTAAACTAGCCAATCAGAGATGCCAACAATTGGGATGTGTCTTTTTTCCTGTCCCTCCTTCTGAGGTAGACACCTAAATCAAGGCTACGAGGAGACACTTAACAAAACAAGCTGCTGTTGGGAGTCAGGCATCTTAGGCACATAAGTTATTTCGTGTGTGAATGGGTTAGGTGCTTGCCTTACACCTCACAAAACAGGAGGTGATGATGCTCACCATTTGACTTTTCACAGTGTTTAGAGCAGTCTAGGGATGTCATTGTGTAGACGACTACACGATTAACCAATAAATCTGATAATCTTGTTGACTACATGCATTTTCCCCCCCTCCAGCCCCCACTTGCAGTCTCTGTATCAAAGGCTGCAAGTGGCAGGGAGCAGAAGCAGGTATCTTGACTATAGTGAGCTAGCCAGACTAAGGATGTTAAGTATGAGGTAACTGACTAATTGAATAGCCTATGCATTTTTGCATTGACTATTCAATTAGTCGATAGGGTGCCTCAACCTTTGAAGTATAACAACCCTAGGGCTGTTGCCCGGGGTCAGCTAGGTACTCCCCAGCTAATCCTGGGCTCCAAGTGGCATGTGTGGGGGGGGCCGTGCCCCAGCCCCCCCGCCACATTTCAAAGCAGCAGCAGCACCACACTGAGCCTGGGGTCAGCTAGGGACTCCCTAGGTGATTCTGAGCTCTAAGCAGCACTTCCGCTTTGAAATGCTGTGAGGAACCTGACACCAGGGAGGGGTTGCAAGTGCTTTGGAGGATAGAGTCAAAATTCAAAATGATCTGGACAAGCTAGAGAAATGGTCTTAGGCAAACCTGGCGGTCAGTTTCAGCAGTGGCTGAATCTGGACGCCAGTTCCGACTTACATACAGATTCAACTTAAGAACAAACCTACAGTCCCCATCTTGTAAGTAACCCGGGGACTGCCTGTACTCCACTTAGGAAGGAACAATCAGTTTCACACATACAGAATGGGAGGTGATTGTCTAGGAAGGAGTACTGCTGACAGGGATTTAGGGCTTATAGTAGACCACAAGTTAAATATGAGTCAACGGTGTGACAATGTTGCAAAAAAGCCAACCATGATTTTGGGATGCATTAACAGGAGTGTTCTGAGCAAGACACAAGAAGTCATTTTCCACTCTACTCGGTGCTGATTAGGCCTCAATTAGAGTATTTTGTCCAATTCTGAACACCACATTCAAGAAAGATGTGGAGAAATTGGAGAAGATCAAGAGAAGAGCAACAAAAATGAATAAAGGTCTAGAAAACAAGAGTTGAAGACTGGAAGAATTGGGCTTGTTTAGTTTAGAAAAAGAGAAGACTGAGAGGGGACATGATAGCAGTTCTCAAGTATATAAAAGGGTGTTACAAGGAGGAGGGAGAAAAATTGTTCTCCTTGGTCTCTAAGGATAGGACAAGAAGCAATGGGCTTAAATTGCAGTAAAAGGAGGTTTAATATGGACATTAGGAAAAACTTCCTAACTGTCAGGGTGGTTTAACACTGGAATACATTGCCTAGAGGGGTTGTGTAATCGCTATCACTGGAAATTTTTGAGAACAGGTTAGACACACAACTATCAAGGATGATCTAGACCGTGCTTGGTCCTGCCCCCATCCCAGCGGCTCCCTCACCATGCTATCTGTCAGCCCTGCCTGTCGGAGCAGCTGCCTGCCGCATGAGTGCTGCTGCCCAACTCTCCAAAGGAGATGGGAGATGGACGATTTTTTTTGTGCGCAGGCACGCACCTTAGAGGAAACCATGGTTGTCTGTAGTCAAGTTGATGTCATTTTTCATTTGGTCTTAATATTTGTTTAGGAACTTATCAGGTAAAAATCTGGTGACTGGGGATGTTGGATTTCTTCCATATTTTGATTTTTTTTCCTGTACTTGTATATATTTTATAAGTAATTTGTAAAGTTATTTTGTAAAGGTGCTTTCTATTACTTGGCTTACTTTGTTCAAAGATAGGACAAGCAGTCTGTATTGACAAAGGTTTCACTGTGTATGTATTACTTTACCTCTGTAGTCAGAAGTAAGAAGTGTGAAGATCACAAAATGATTTGAATACAACAAGCAGCTGCAGATGTTACAATCTGCAGGCAGTAAGCCAAATTGGCTATTTGAGTAAGCTGATGCAACAGTAATGAATTAAATAGTGATATGTCCACTTCAGCTGTGCATGTGTACATATGTATGTACGTTTACATAGACAACTTTCACTGTCTTCTCTTTCAAAATAGGAATCCTATATAGGGTGTATTGCATGAACGCTGACATGTAAATCAAGTAGACATGGTCGTTTTTTAAACTATATTTCTCCATTTTTCCAGTTCTCTTCCTCTCCCCTCCCTCCCCCTGCACTGTGCCAAACACTTGTTTAATAAGCACTGCTACTTGGCTGGCTAGGAAACGGTTTGTGAGATGCTGGGGACACGTTTCTTAAACTAAAAAAAACGTGATTTCTTCAAAATGATATTTTAAATTGTGGATAATCTTAGGAAAAGTATTAAAGACAGTTGCTGAAGAAAATGGTGCATGTTATATGATTACTTGGAAGGGGTACAGCGATGGTTAAACCTGACCTACTTTTTCTAATCTTTATGCAATGTTCATGTATTATTCATTCTATTTTCTTTTTCAAATAAACGCTTCAAGCAGTGAACTTTTTTCTTTAAAAATGAATATCAGCTGTCCAACATATGAAGCAGTTTTGGACACTCCTACAGTACACCTTCATGTTTTTATGATGAAAGAAATATTTGTTAAGAAAATATATTTCAATTTAAAATTTCTTATGATTTATAATAGAGAACTTGGTTACAATCATGAAAAAATTGCATAATGGTGACTTCCAAAAATAACTTTTCAGGGCATCACTTAACAGGAGTGTGAAAATAAATTGTTCTATTTAATTAAAAAAAATTATGTATAAAAAAATAATGTAAAAGAAAGGACTTTGTGCTAATCAGAGCTTTACTGCATTGTACAGAGATAGCAACCATCATGTAAAGAGTACATTTTAAATAGAAAATATGCTTTGAAATGTAATTTGTTTGCCCAGTTTTTTGAATAATGCAAATGATTATAACTATCAGATGTTTAGAACTTAGATGCAGTTTTTCAGTTTTGAATCTAACACTTTCCAAGCTAAGGAATAGAACAGGTTTCACCAGCTACATAAGGTAGAGAGTTTTCTTCATATTGCTATTTGTTTAATGTTATATCCCATAACAGGATCTATATGGTTTTAAGAAGACATTATTAGGGGGATTTAGTTGTTCCTAAGATGCAGTGCCCTTGCAGCAGAGAGTTTTGTAACAATTGCAAAGTGTAACTTATTTGATAAATAATTTTTCCAAGTGATATATTATTAGTGTTAATTGCTTTCTAATGTCTTTTTTTAAGCATTTTTGTTCTCATAGTTTAATGTGAAAATAAAAATTACTTGGGTTAGCCCAGCATTCTAAAGAACTGTGAAGTGCTAATTAGAGCAGCATATTTAGATTTCCTCTGAAGGAGTAAAATTCTCCTCAGTTCTTAAACTGAACTATATTGGCTTCATGATGCTATCTGTCCTGATTATGGCAGAAAATTCCTCTTTTATTGAACAGTTGTTTGTTTTGCGTACTTATCTCTGCTTTTGGATCCAGTGCTTAGTGAGGTATACATGTAATTGTGTATGTTAATAAACTGCAGGGGGAAAGAACAGTGGTGTGGGTGTGTGTTATAAACATATTTCTAGAGGAGAAAAAGGCTGAATAAAAAGGTAGTAAAAGGTTGCAAGTAAATATGTGAAATTTAAAGCATAAAAAGCTCTGAGGTTTTGTGGATCTCATCAATCCCAGAATCAAAACAACATGGGTATAAAATAGAGGCATTAATGTGGTAAAAATTCTAGGGAAGGGGGAATATTGGAATAAGTCTGGGATATGATTGGATATAATCTCAGATTTTGTTTTGTTAAATAAGAAATGTCAAAAGATAGTCAAGGCATGATGTGTACTAAAGTGTTTATTCTCATTAAATCACCACATACATTTTGATTCTGAACCATATTGTTCTGATTAATGAATTAAGTTTATTGTATTTAATATTTTTGTGAAATCTTAGATTTGAAACAGTGAATTTACTATTTAAATATGTTTTATTACACTGCAGCTATAGTTGGGTTTAACAAGTATTTAGTGCTAGATGATACTTGATTGAGACTTTTCTCTCTGATAATTTACAGAATGACTGAAGATTAAAAGGACAATGGGCTGCATGTATCCCGATGGCATCTTGTGTACAGTGACACATCACTTGCTATGGCATCTGAAGCTGAAAAGACTCATGCTCTTCTCCAAACTTTCACCACAGCTTCAGTTATTTCCAGTCTAGGATTGGGTCTATTCTGCTTCATAGCAGACCGACTTCTACAGTTCTCTTTCATTCAGCAGCATGACTGGCTCCGAGCTCTCTCTGATAATGCAGTGCACTGTGTGGTGGGAATATGGTCCTGGGTGATAGTCATTGGGCTCAGGAAGAAGAGTGACTTCGGTGAAGTCATTTTAGCTGGTTTCCTCTCTTCTGTCATTGATGTGGACCATTTTTTTCTAGCTCGCTCCCTTTCATTAAAGGTAAGCAAAGTTGATCAAAGTTCTCTTTGTTTTCTTGATTATTTTTGCATTTCTGCTACTTCTAAGCACTATATCACCTGTTGGAGCCTAATTTTTGAAGTCAGAGATCTCGTTGACTTGATGTGTTTAATTTACTGTATGTTTGAGAACATTTGTCTGTATCTGTCTGTCTGTCCTCCAGCTGTGTCTGCTGCAGCTGCAACAGCCATGGACATGTGCTTTTTACCTTGGCCCCAACCTGCTGTGATGAGAGAGGGCTGGGGTTGGCCCCAGGGCAGCCTGTATACTGAACCTCTCATACCCTGGCCCAACCAAACTCCTACTCCCTAGGTAGACTTTAGAGAGGGCAGGGCTGAAGTCCTGCCCCTTCTCCCCAACTCGTATGGGGACCTGCATGATCCAAATAATGCAAGGTAGATCATCTAGTTGCTTACATAATGTTTTTAATAAAACATACATAAAAAGCTATAAAAAACAATGAATGGTCCTATAGTACCTTAGAAATTAACAACAAATTATAGATAATATCACGAGGTTTCATGGGTACAACCCACTTCTTCATTCGTTGTTTTTTATGTTTTTGTAGTTACAGGCAGTCCCCGAGTTACGAGGATCCGACTTATGTCGGATCCGCAGTTACGAACGGAGTTTGCTCCCCGTCTCCCTGGTCTCCTGGAGACCAGCAGACCAGGGAGACGGGGAGCAAAGCCTCTGAGGACGCCGGCAGCGGGAGAGCCGCGGCGCGTCTGGGCTGTCCCGCTGCCCGTGTGCTCCGCGGCTTTGCTCCTGGTCTCCCTGGTTTGCTGGTCTCCAGCAGACCAGGAAGACGCAGAGCAAACCCCGTTCGCAACTGCGGATCCGACATAAGGC